CATATGAACTTAATTATTTTCTAAATATGAATTAAATAAAGTCTAAAGACCTTAGAAATATTTGAAAATCTCCCTCTGACATTTTAGTTTTACCACTTTCTTACAGCCAATTATCTGCTAAAAGTAAAAGAACTTTAAATATGAATTATTTATACTCAAAAGAATTTTTTTAACTTAGTATTCCATGCAACCATTGAACTATCTGCCTTCTGAGAGCCAAGAGATAGAATATTTATGATACTAGAGTTTTTCCAACCAAACTGAATATACTTAGAACCACTGGACTAAAAACAGGAGAAGAACACCACTGTTGACAGCTAGGAAAATTATTCCGTTATTTTACATGTGGTTGAGGAAGTTATTTAGTAGAAAACAAAGCAAAGTCTTATTTTCAGTATTTTCTCACCAATAAAGGTCAGCTTGGTTGTTTCCAAGAGTTGGTCAAGCTGATGGTGTGTTCTGTGCTTTCTGTTGCAGCGACTTCAGAAACTTTCTCTGACCCCTAAATCCAAAGCACATGAAAGAGTCTATCATATTTGTGTGAATACGATCAAGTTCAGCTTGACAGCCAACAAGAAATATAAATTGATATTGCTGAAAACCTTTATTTTCATTAGACAATTGAGAAGTCATGAAAATTTGTGTAAAAACATTCATTTAAGAGTTTTGGTTCATAAAACATTGGGAAAGATTGGATTCATGAAAAGACAGTAGAGTCTAAAAAATGACATCTTTATGATCTTTTAAGGTTTAAAAATGTTGCATTAAACTAATTTCTCATGAGATAATCTCTGAAGATTGGACTAAAAAATATTCTAGTGAAAACAGAACATTTTGTACATGAATATTTATAGACAAAATAAATGTAAAAACTTCAGATGTTGGCAGTTTTACAGCTTATTTTACTTAACCTGTTATGAAGAGATTTTTTCTAAACGTCCATATTCTATTTGCCCTTAATCTCCAAGAAGTGATGTTCTTCATGGTTGCTTTTGATGAAATGTCTTGCTATCTAATTTCCAAGCACAGGCAGATGCTGACTTCTAGCCAAAGAGCACAATAGTATGTTTCTCTCAGTAACAGCAGCGTTAATTTAAAACTGTGAAAATTGCCAAGGCAGAGGCACCATTAGTCATATGGTTTCTGGGAGACATGTTTTCCACTGAGACATACCTCTAAATGATAGACAGCATTTGGGAACAGCTGCGGAAGATGGTGAGCAGTAGTTCATTTATGAATCCAGACTGTTCAGCATCTTTCCTGTTACAGTGAAATATGTGTGAAGATACAGTAAAGAGTTCTGACATTATAAAGGAGAGATGTCCATTACAGGGTTACCTGTAAAGATTTCAGTCCTATTAGCATATGAAATGAACACTCTTCAAATTTAAGCAGGGCGCTGCTCACAAGTCTGTAAATATTACTCTACATACATTGTACGCAGAATCAAAAAGGATGTCAACATGAGGATGTGGTAGAAAAAGAAAAATAAGAAAAAGTTTCTGTAGAGGAAAGTCTTAGGAGCATGCATCATTCAGGTTTTAAACAGAGCAAAAGACATTAATGTTAGCCTGCTAGGACAGCTAGTATACCCCAGGAAGAGCAACAGACCTAATTTCAAAGTTAAGCTGCTAATTACAGTGGGTATGGAAAGTATTTCTGTTAGGGTTCCAGTTTGTGGGGGTTGTTTTTGTGTTCTTTTTCAGTGTCTCCGTGCATCCACCAAAGGGTGCCATTGCTTCTCTGTCAGCCTGGAGGGCCTCTTTGTTGGTCATTACGGTCGTCGGTCAATACCATCTGAGGAGTATGTGAGCAGCGTACTGTCATCATCTCCGTGCCAGAGTGTTTGCCAGTATTGGGATAACTAGAGATCCACTGCATAAGCCTGGGCCTTCAAGCCTTAGAAGGAATCCGTCCGTCTCGCTGAGGATAGGAAACTATTCACCTAATCACTTCTCAGTCATCTTCAGGAAAACTTGTGACAGTCCGCTCCGCTGTTCCTCTAGACCACCATAAGTCTGCCTGTCCGCCCTCCAGCAAGTAATCTCCTTATCAGAACAAGCCCCCCACAAACAGAAACCAAGGAGCAACCGCAAACTACATAAGTGAGTCCCTCTCTGGCCATTTTTCTGTATCGGCCTGTTTTTTCCCATGGACCTTGAACTCACCACTCTGATCTCTTTCTAGATTTTCCGCTGATTTAGCCGATTTGGATTTTGCGCTGAATTTCTATGGACCTTGAACTCACCATTCTGATGTCTTTCTAGATTTTCTGCTTCTGGTTCACCAGACCGCTGGATTTTCCCCTAGCTGAGAAACCAATAGTTTTAGTCTCTCTGAGCTTTTGTCATTTCAATAAACTGTTAAACTTTTTCCCTGCCTCTGAGTGTGCTTCTGCATGTGGGCTAAACACAAGACCCATAATGACAATTCCAACCCCTTTAAATTGTTCATTACAGCCATTTGGTAAAGTCCATAGAGTTCATTTTATTTGATATGATCATTATATATTTTAGCTTTTCTTTTTTTTAAATAAATTTGCAAAAAATTACATTTCTTTTTTTTCTTTCAAGGTGTGGTGCTCAGTGTACATTAATGAGAAATAAAACTAACTTTTTGATTTTAGCAAATGGCTAAAATGAAACAAAGAATGAAAAATTTAAAGGGATCTAATCAAACAGTCATATATGACTTGACTTGAAAATTTCAATTCATGTCCATAAAAAGTTCTGTGAAAATTGCAACAGTGCCAAAAAAGCCTTACCAAAACCTTAATTTGATTAAGTATTTCCAGCTTAGCATCCATTTTTAGGTTTTATATTGATGTATTGCTATCAATATGTGGAAAATGCACGTCAAAGTTTTTCATTTGTACTAACGGCAAGGTCCCTCAAAACATTGTAGATGGAAATCTATTTTTTTTACCATAAGAACAAAGCAAGGTCAATAATAAGTTGCCTCCAAAAACAATAAAGGTCAAGCACTTTAATATTTTGTTAAAATGCCTCTAGCTTTGATTATGAATTTGCTGTGGGTTTTTTTTTTTTCAACAAGCGCCCGCAATCATAAGAATAATTTCGCCCTGAGTGTTAGATTTATTTTTTTCTGCCAACACCTTGCATTGATGATGACAGAGGTTGACAACTAAAATGCTCTTCCTTTCACAATAAAACATAACCATGTTGTCTTTCTTCAGTATCAACGAAATATTTAAGTGATGGGCCATCACGATCATTCAAGAAGCTTTTCCTGTGACATTTTTTTCTCAAAGACAATGGGTCCCCACTTTCTTTCCACTTTTTGATAATGAGTTGGACAGTTCTCAGTCCACTTAGGTATTTTCTGCCCTCTCCTTAGATGTTTACTTAACGTCATGCCAATGATTTCTGAAACAAACCAACATCTTTTCATAGAATGTGTCATTAGACATGATTAAGAAATAAAAACCAACTCATTGCATCAGTTGTGGTTAAATAACTTGTTGCCAGCTGAAACATAATAGCCCAATCATTAATTATCCACCTATTTGCTTAGTTAAATCCAAGTAGCCAGTGTATGGCTGGTCTTTGGAAATTAGAAGTCATTTTTCCAGTCTGACTGAATTCAAACATAAAAACTTAAATCTGATTAATGAAAAAAAAAAGAAAAGAAAACAAAGGTATCTATGTCTGTATGTAGTTTATGTAAACATATGGTTTCAAATGCATTACCAATCCTGGCAGTTATATGACTAATGTGCCTAACTTAATATGCCATTTAACATACATTAACATAAATATAAGCGGCAACTGCCGATCAATGAAGACTGCCATTTAAAAATATGTGCCTGCAACATTTGAATGTTTGTAAGAGTGGCTGCACCCTCTGAGTTTGGCTGCCTGGTTTGATCTTTTTAAGCTTGTTTTCATCAGTTTTCACTTCTCCCAGAGCGCTCTGTATGTTCCTCTAACAGACTGCAGGCTGTGCAGGCTACGTGGCAGAGCCCAGGCATCAGGATTATATACCAAACAAGGAAAGCCGTTGGTATGCTGGTCCTGAAGGCTCTGCCTCCTACTGTAGCGGCAGTTTGCTTCCTTTATTGGCTCCCTGTATGAGCTTTACTTCTCCTAATGACTCAACTTTCCTTCATGGTGTTCCATATAAAATATGTATGTGGAAGAAAAAGAAAAAGGCTACTTTCAGAAAAGTTTTTTTTTTTAGGTGAAGGCTTAAACTTCATTTTCAGATCATTTTAAAGATTAAATCAATGGAGTGAAACATGAGCAGACTTATTATGCCAACTTTGAAAGTATCACACATGTTGGAGAAACAACTGCTCGGATATTCTTGTCATATCATATTTTTAATTTCTTCTGTGATCTGATGCAACACTGGAATGTTTTGAGAAATATTGTTTGTTCTTTGCTGTAAATCTCTCTAAAACCTTTGCATTCAACACTATGAATCTCAAGTACTAAAACTGAACTCTTACTGTACATTGCAAAAATAATCTAGAAAAATATAACATTCTTAAAATAATTGTATTTACCCTTAATTTGAGCAGGTAGATAAGATTATTTGTCAATGAAATTAGTACTTTTACAATTAAAAATAAGATAGTTAGATAATATATATTTAAAATATTTTTCTTATTTTACCTCCTCTTATTCACTGTTACTGTCAAGTCTTTTGGACAAATGCCAAGAAAACCTATGTTTTTTTTGTGTTACTTTTTAATGTAGGCTTTGAAATATTGGGTCTAAAAACACGTATTTTCAAATCAAAAAGATGTTAGATCAAAAAGAGCTGAAAGGTCACCCCCAGATTTTCTCCCAATGAGGAAAAAAAACTTCAGTGCTAAGCTTGGGCTTGTTGTCCATGTAGAATCAGGCTTCTCACCTTTTCTAATTACAGGATAGCTGCTGGTTGGGTGTTTAGCAGAGAAGGAGCCAATCCTGTAGAGCTTTACAGGATGTCCCAGCCTTATGACAAGCCTTTTTTTTTTTTTTAATGATCAACGGGGGCTACTTAAAAATGTTGCTCTGTGTGTCTGGCTCATACGGGGGAGCAGAGAGCATTAGATTTCAGACAGCTTGGAAAAGCCGACTGTCCCTCTAGAGAGACCCGCTGGATCCAGAGGTGATCACAGGAGGCCACTTCCTCAGCTTCTTTGCAAGTAAGAAGTAAGGCTATCTCTATGTAGAGAGGCTCTTGGTAACTTTAAGGACTTGAGGTATGGTAGAACTTGAAAGGATTTAAAACCTATCCTAAAATCCTTAGAATTGATGACATAGCAGCTGTAATTCAGCAGCCATTCGATCAGGAGCAGCAGAAGGAATAACAAGCTTCTGGTGGTTTGATTGCTGGGTTCAGTCTCTATGTTTGATATTCTGATTAATTTCCCTAATCCCTCAAAAGCTCTATTAGTGCATGTCCTCAATCCTTCCTATTGTCTCTGTATCTGTGGGTTAAATAAGACAATTTTTTTGTTTCTGAAAACATTGTGTAATCAAGGATTTCCATTTCTAAGAGCCAGCTGAAAAGCTCTTCAGAAAAATGGAAAGATGAGAAGATCAGTCCAAGTGGAGTTTTACTGCAACGTGCTACATTCAGTTGCCAGGTAGCAATCCAACAGAAACCCAGAACATTGTTCCCTGTCTGTTCCTCCAGGAAGCACACGATACGGAAAATGGCGCGATCTGGACGACCATCGCTCTCTGTCATCCACACAGGTCTCCTGTTAGCAGTTGTTTTATTACCAGGTGAGACATCATTCAACATGTATGAGCAGATTGAGAAATAGTCTGTTTTTTTAGCTTCCACTATTGCTCACATGTTTAGGGTTCTCCTTAAAACAGTTTCTTAAATGTTCTGGAAAGTAGAAGAGGGACAAAGATGCATCTTAATGCAACTAAACTTAGTCAGAAAAACTTTAGTATCTCTCATTAATCTCAGCATATATACCTGGATAGAAAATATAATATCTTACAACAATTAATGAGAAAAGTCTTTCCAAAGGAAAGTAGCTTCTTTTCATTAGTTAACTTGTATGGTTGGTTCAAGTGATAAATCGGATCCATTTGTTTATGCATTGGGTTGTATTAGAGCTGTTCAAGCAGTTTAGCAAAAAAAATTTATTAAGATTTTTTAAATAATAAAATTAATTTCCTTCAGTATGATTAGACTGTGGCAGAATCCCACTTCATTCCTCTTATCCATTTTTTTTAAAGAGTGTAGGATCTTAAAATGGAGATCCTATAGAGTCTGTTGTACTTAGAAATACACTCATAGATATAATTATATCCTCAGTTTACCTGGTTTAAAAGTTCGATATAAAAATTTATTAAATGTTTGTCAATTTGAATAATGTTATAATTAAAACAGCCATAAACATGTTTAGTCAAATATCCATGCTTTTACTCTAATCTTGTTTAACTTGCAAACAAGCAAAAATGGGACAGTAGAGTACTTTAATATTAAACTGATAATGTCACAGAACAAAACCAGCAAAAGCACCTGAATTTAGTGTATAGTTTGATATATTCTGATATGAGTATTTAATTTGGTATCAATTAATAAACATTGAATAGATCAAAATCACAAAGTGCTTAACAAGGAAACATGAATGAAAATTGAAGAATTAAATGGAGACATTATTTAAAAAGGAAAAACTATGAAGGAAAACACAATTTTAAGAAAGTTGTGAAAATAATAACAACAGTAAAGGTAATGTATTTTTATATTCTGACTCAGCTTGCAAAATGTGTTTGAAGATTATATTTAAGTTAAAATAAAATCAGCAATACATCTAAATTATTTTTTTACTCATGAAAAATAGATGTGATTGTCTTGGTTACCTTTGATTTCTTATCCATGTTCCTTTTGAAGATGAACTTGTGTCATTCTGTGTCCTTACTTCTAAACTAAAAGTTCCTGAGATTGATTTATTAACATCTACCTGTTTTAAAAAAAATATATATTTTTTTCTTTTTACTATGTAACTTTGCATTTTCTTTTTGTAGCAGCCTCTTGGCCAGGTCCTCCTTGACTTTTATCTTATTTTTATCTCAAAATGACTATCCTGGTTAAATTAAAAGGAACCAACCAGATAAATAACCAACTGTTTGCATGACCTTCATGACTTAATCTTAAAGATTCAGATCCAAGCATGATATGTCTTCTACCTAGATGTAACAATCAGCGAGAAAACAATGTCAAAGTTTCTTGAACAAAGGGTCCAGTTTCTTAGTATATTATTTTAAAGCAAAGAAAAACATACTAAGAGAAGTAATGACTGAGAAATGGGATTCAGCCTAAATGGCCTTTAAATAGTTTAAAAACACAGGTAGATTTTGAAAATACATGTTGATTTCAACACATACTGTAGAACTCTGATACCGGAGAGGGGTGTCTATTTTTTTTTAGTAAAAGAAAAAAATCAAATAAATAGATAGATGTTTAAGTCATACACAAGCTGTTGGGACTCAGAAAACACAAACATTTTGCATATGATTAGTTTTGGTTGGATTAAGTGAGAATTGCTACTTTACGGTAAATTAAATCAACTTTGCTTTTTAACCATTTCCTAATTATTTTGGAAAAGCTCATTAGAGAAGTTTGGCATCTCCAAATCTTTATAGATCTATTGAGCCCTTTCTCTTTGAAAAGGAAACATCCTTAAATGTTTTGCTCTCTGGAGCTTCAAAACAGTTGGGGTTAAAAAATATACTAGGATAACCTGGAAATTTGCGCTATAATCAGCCGTCTTGGCTTTTTTTGTTATAGCCATAAATGTTTTCATAAAACCTCTGCAGATCAGAAGACACTCAAGCATGTCCTCTCCCTCCCAGCAGCCACATGTACATTGTATCCATAATTAGTTTGTGTGAGGGCCAGCTCTTTGTAGTTTTACAGGTAAAACTTGAGGAGGCCTCCAGCTATGGCATAAACATCACCGTTTTAGTTCAAAGCTAAACGACGCAGAATGCTTGGGGCCGCATGGAGGAGTGGAGGTGGAGGAGGCGGGGTAGGGGGTGTTTAATTTGCAGGATGCTGCCAGCGTCGGGGCGCCAGAGTTCCAGCACCTGCCGCTTTTCACCCAGCGGCTTATTAGCAACTCAGCATTTTCCCTGATGTTGAGAGAAAGCTGAACATCTGGTTCCTGTTAGCAAATGTTGCTGCTACTAATGTGGCTCCTGTTTGTGTTTGTTACAGAGCTTCTGGGGGCCGTTCCAGTGGGGCAGAACAAGCAGGAGGAAGGTTTGGATTTGTCTGATGTGGCATAAGAAACTCAGTTGCTAAATGTTTTGGGGGATATAAAGCATGAGATTCTACTTTCCCATTAGGCATACATGAACCTCATGCTTTTCAATGTAGATTTATATGAACCCTTAATTCATAGTACCCTTAATTAAATAGTAGGATTTTGTGTAAGTGAATCAATTTAAATAGTGAAATATTATCATGTATGAAACATCGACTCAACACATGATACTATACAAAACTGAACTTTAAGAAAGTAAAACATGTTACTACTAATACAACAACTACTGCTGCTACTACTACTACTACTACTACTACTACTACTACTACTACTACTACTACTACTACTACTACTACTACTACTACTACTACTACCCAAGGCTTTCATTTTGGTTTGAATTTATTTTCTTTTATAATTTTAGGAGAAATGCCCCCAAACAAACAAAATACGACTTTAAACACAAAAACAACAAAATATAATGACGATTCAATCATTAAATTACTTGTGATTCTAAACTTAACACGTATACAGATATCAATAGGTACCTCTAAAATAATCATGCTTTGTTTGAAAACAAAATAAAAACCTTGATCCAATACTATGTAACAGCATTAGGACATGGATAGTAACAAGTTTCTCATTAATCTCCGTTTTTGAACTGTGTATGCTTTATTTTAAATCGTGGTAATGTCAAAATCCCTAAAAAGACAAAGCAGGGAAAACAACTGAACAATATAGTACACAGTGATATGGTTTTAAGATTTTTGATCATTCTCCACACAAAGTTAGAATTTATCAATTGCACCAACAGTTTATCCAGATGTTCTCACATAAATACAACAGACATAAAGAGATAGACGTTTTCCCCTTATGGTTATTTAAGAGCCCAATACGGTACAGATGTTATAGAAACCAATACAATACTGACAACAATTAATAATTTATTGTTTAAATGTTCTGAATACAAGAATACCATTATTAAACATTTAAATATTTTTTATATGCTACATACCTGGCATTTATGTTATTTAAATCAGGCTGCTTTTCTCGTTTAAATACAGAAACAATAAAAAAAAAGACTGGATTGTACTGATTTTGCTGTATTTGACTATATTGAAACAGAATCAAGGTAACATTTCAAATGTCTTCTCTTAAAGTCATGGGGAAGTCATATTTAAATTTCAAATCATTCTGGCTTAAACATGTCTATAAATGTACTTTTATCAGATCAGATTGTCCCAAAAGTTATAAAAATTATATTTAAAAAAAAATCCTGTCGTAAAATCTGTTTTTTTTTTTCTTTGTTATTTTATGCAGGCCAGTTAGTTATACGTCAGCTTTTACACCCAAATTCGGCCAATCACATATCAATGTCATCTGTCATTCTAATTTCTTCGGTCATAAAATCTTGATTCATATGTCATAGCTAATATACGCAATGGTTGAAATAAGAAATAAGAATCATTTACTTTACCATGGAGTTACGTCCCAGTGTTCATGGGGATGGATGTCTGTTTCTTCGGCAGGCATAGAGCTAACAGAACTGGCAGCGTTGCGAGGCAAGGGCTCAAACATATACGGCTGTAAGCCTTCTACACCAAACCAAGCTTCTGCCGCCCTGGCGTCCTCTTCCACAACATCTTCGTCCCCGCTTTCCTCCTCTAAATAAAAAATGTATGATGGAGCAGACTCATCCACGACATCCAACGCAAAACTCTCCTCCTCTTGCATGTTTCCAATGTCCATAGCGTTCCTTGACAGGAACACTAAATGCTACTTGGTCCCAATGTAATTTTGCATTGGGAACCTACTAGCACTAAGTTGCTAACTGCTTAGCAAGATGCTTCTGAGAAAACAGCCACAATCAAACGTGCTTGCGAACCTATCCCCCCCCCCCTTGGTAAATGACCAATCACGTTCACTTGATTCACTTGTGTAAAGTCAAGCACCACTCGAGAGAATTCGTAACTGCAACTGTTGGAACAGCTGCTTCCCTACAACTTTAAAGTGCAGATCTATAAACCAATGATTGGACAGGAATCAATCCTTGGTGAAGACCTTTAAGTGCACCATGATAAACTGATTAAATCAATTCTAGATCAAAACTGTCTGTCTTTTGAAGAGGATGAATTGGAAACCCCCCTTGCAACATGCTAAAGCCGGGCGTTTTTTTGCCCTTTTTGGGGCGACTTTCCAGTTGTGCGAGAATTTTCTGATCGGGCCGGTTTGTACATCGTGCGTAATTTGCTCAGTGTGCATGCCCAAACAAGGATTCTTCTTTTTCTTCTTCCTCTCAGATGTAAACACAGAAGCGTGGCGGGGGTGCAATGTCTTTGTCCAAATACGTTGTCGCCTTTTGTTTTTAGGGCTTTCAGCACAAAATTTCACAAATTGCCAAGGCAGCGCAGTTCACTGTAGTGAGCTTCACATTCCTCTTCTACCAGTTTGGCTTCCAGATAGACGAGTCAGAGTTGCTCCATTTCACTGCGGAGCCGAGTCCGACGTGGTTTTTAGATGTACAGTGTGAGCAGGTAGATCGCATCAGAGCGTCGTGCGGCACATACATCGTGAGCTGTGAACTCACACTGTACGACGAAACCCTGCAGTTTCGTCGTACAGTGTTAGCTGTAGCTGTGTGCAATGATTGAAAAAATCGCACAGTGTAAGCCCGGCTTTATATGGCCCAACATTTATGACTGCATTGCGTGAAAACTGTGTTAGCTTAGCATAGTATATTACTTAATCTTTAAACATTGCAGATAGACTCCAATAAAGGTTAAACTGTTCAAAGTTTTTCTTTTTGTTTTAAGAATTATAAGCAAAGGAAATTTCCTTTCATGGCGTAGCTTACTTGGACATTATCGGTATTTAGCATGAGATAGCACAACTATATAGCACAGGACACTAATTCACATGGTACCATTAGAAAAAAAACAGCTATGTACAGAAATAACTTCACTGTTCCCTTGGCTGCTGGTACCATTTGATCTTATATTTGAGATGCTTTCAGGATTGATCAGACCACTAGCATAACTAATATCAGTTTATTTTGCTTTCTCCCACTTTGGCAGTGTCTGATGATGTGAAAGCAGAGGCCATGGCCAACTTGAAAAAGCTGGTTCGCAACAGAAGGAATGTCCCAGTCATGGCAGTGCCCCAGTTCAGACGTGTGCCTGACTTCTGGGCATGGTACAAGCACTTTATGGACACCCACAACCAGGAGGGGGTGAGTTCAACATCAATTATTCATTTTTACCCTGGACAACATTATGAAGTGCCTAATTTATCTCTTAAAAATCCATCAACTTGCGACTTTGGTTGTATATGAGAATACTGTTTTTTTTTCATTAAATGCACTAAATGAATAATATTAGACAGAATATTTCATCCTTCTTATTCAGTTCAGATTACAACAGCAAATGATTTATTAATCTGTCTCTATCATCTTTAAATATTTAAAAGATTTCAGGGTTTATAGCTGTCATATCTCTGCTTTTTGCTTTGAATAAAGAACAGATCAAAAAGAAAATGTATTAAGTTATAAAAAAGTTCAAAAAAACGTATTTTAAATCCTATTTTAGTGGATTGTAAATTGTTTGGCCAATCACAATGGTAATTTGAGCTGCTTTTGCCCCTGTTGTTCAGGTGGAGGATCTGGATCGTCTGTATCTGGCCTATTTGCAAAATAAGCACAGGTCGGAGGAGGGGCCAACCTTTAACCACTACCTCAAACACCTCAGTGAAATCTACAAAACCTGTGCTGATTCTGATGACCCAGAATGCATAGCTGAGCATACCAGCAAGCCCAAAGCCGCCGTGGTCATGCCTGCACCTTTGAAGTCTGCTCCTGTCAGGATGTGCAACCCCTATATTGACCCATACTGCCTCTACCCTATGTCCTCCAAAGCTGCTGTCCCCGTGCGTGAACCGGCTCCAGCCAAGGTACCAGCCCCCATCCTTGCCCCGATGCTGCCCATGCCTCTGAAGGGCCCTGCTGGTTACTACTATGGTCCTGTTTTGGAGCCCTTCCTGACCGCTGAGCAGAGGTCCGAACTGCTCAGAATTTGCCAACCTGACGACGTCGAATGCCTGCAGTACCACCTAAGAGCAGCGTTCGGGTACCGCCCAGTGCTGGGTCCATCTCCATCCTATGCTGCCTTGAAATGTGACCCAAATGACCCGTACTGTATGCCCCCTCTGGTGCAGAAGGCCCCCACTGGTTTCTACCATCTGATGTACCCCAGCTGTGACCCATCAGTGGATCCTCTCTGTGTCAGTAACGTTGCAGCTCCTTCTCCCCTTGCTGCTAGGGAGGCACCCAAAGAGCAGCACTGCAACCCTCTCTTTGATACAGGCTGTAACCCGCTGACTGCCTCAAGGCTCTCTAGCCTCACTAAACCTGTCCTGGAGTACGTCCCCAAGCATGCACCTCCTTCGGCTACTCAGAACTGTGACCCACGAACCAACCCGTACTGCATACTGGTAGCTGCTGCTGCCCTGCGCAGGCCTCCGCCACAACTGCCCGAGCACCAGGTCTGAATCCAGTCCTGTTTTTAGATTTCAATACCTTCTCTTGAAAATCCTGAATAGTCATGCTAACATTAAGCTTATTAAAATATGTAAGAAAATAAAAATTTGTTTTGCTGAATACTTTTAATGTCTTTCTTAGTTATGAATCTGTTTTGTTTTGAAAAAAAAAAAATGAAATCAATCAACCAGGTCCGCTACCAGCTTGGCATCCGTGGCAAGACCAAGGAAGGCTATGACTGCTATGTGCACTATGACAAGGATTGCACTCCAGTCAAGCCTGGCTCTGAGGCTCCAGAGGCACCCTTCTGTCATCCTTATGATCCAAAATGTGGAAAGTTCACACCGCCTGCCAGCATAGAGGCTCCAAAACCCGGAAAGGACGGCATTATTCTCCCAGATCCCGACTGTGACCCTGAGTACGACTTCAACTGCCGATTGCGCCGTGCCGAACCTGCCGCCTCTGCTGATGAACCCATCACAGATAAAGAAGATGCTGCAGACGAACCTGCCAAGGAAGCTGCTGTCCACCAATCTGCTGCCCCATGCTTTGAGGACTTCCTCAGGAGTGTCCTTAGACACCAGTAAGGCTCATCATTAGCTTTACAGCTGTTCAACTGGAACTTAAGTTCTAAAAAAATTCCATACAGACTTTTAAAGCCAGAAACTTTTTACACCATCATCAAGGCCTTACCAATATTTTAAAATGAAATCTCAAAATAATGCAGTTTCCAACAGCAAGGCAGACAGTCTGAAGATTTTGTACTTTAGATCAAAGATGGAGACAAGCAACATACACTGCTGCATTATGATCAAATTGTGCATTAAATAATTCATGTTTGGATGTTTGTAGAAAATAATTTTATGTATAGATGTGTAAAAGGGAAGTAGAGTTAGTCTGAAGCTGTGTTATCAGGAGCAATGTTCTGTTGTAAATTACCCACATTGTAATTATTTTTGTTTTCTTCAGTTTTCTGGTAACTCAAAACTGTTAAAACATCATCTGTTCCCTTTGGTTACTAAGTAAACAAAGTTAATTTACCAAAAATAAAAAGAATGAATTCATTTTCTTCAAATTAAATAATCTGCAAAGATCACAGACACACATGTTCAGTGGCTAACAATAATAAAAAAAAACAATATATTACACATTTGAAACTTTGTTGGAGAGAGTTTATTTAGTAACATTCATTTCAGAGCGCTGTCCCTTAGCTGTTATGAATAATACGCAAAATGTTAATGCAGCAGATGGTCTGGCCTGTTGGGTGCTCAACAGTTTGTGCTCAAAATGACTTCAATAAAATCAGTATGGCTCATTGTTACTTCTCCGTGGTTACACCAAACAAATGTTGCAGGTATACTTTGTAAATAATAACCCCCAATGTGTTACAAAAGTTTTAACACAATTAATATAAGCGTTAATTCATCCGTGTTGCATCATCTATTGTTAAACCCCATCAAAATGAATGTAATTTAGTGGAATTTTGTGTGACAGACTGACACAGGGTAACACATGACTGTAAAGTTGAATTGAAAGGAAACTTAGGATCCAAAACTAGGAGACACCGGGTAGAAACATATATCAGGGAATGAAGAGAATACAGCACTGAGTAACAGCAGAGGATGAGTATATATGAAAGACAGAACAAAGAGTGGAGTAATCAGTTAATTGGGAGCAGGGGTGGACAGAAACAGCTAGAGGGGAACTATAAGGGGAAAGGAAACTAGGGGCACTAGGGGGCAACAAACAGTAACCAGGGAAAAACAAGTATAACTGTAACTAGAAAATAATGTACATTTTGGCTAAAGGGGAATAAAACTAATGACTACAAATAATGAATGACCCAGGGGAAAACTAGAGGATAAGATAAGGGACTAAAGATAACTGAAGCCATGGAAAACATAACCTAAAGATAAGAGAAAGATTAACTAACTAAAGCTAGACCAAGGAATAAACAATACCAAAAATAATGAAAAGAGATAACACAGAAGAGTAAAACTAAGAATCCAAAAACTGATATAAATATTGACAACATAGAATAAAAAAAAGCATAAATGAGAACCCAAAATTAAAAACCCGAACCAAAAAGTCCAGAATGGCAGATCAGGGCAATAACAAGTTTTCAACATTTAGTACAACTATAAATCCTGTTTGCATTTCAATTAAAGTCTAACATTTTAATGAAATCCAGTTTAACCACATCCTTTTGAAGACAATAAACATATAAAAACAACAACCAAAAGAATATATATCAAGCTTTGCACATTTCACTGTTCCAATCATCATCTGAAAAATAGAAAATGGCACAAGGAGCCTGAAGGCTCAAGGTGACTTTTGAGGATCTGCAGAGATCCACTGCTCCGGTGAGCCATGCACTCTGGTAGGCTTTATCGAATAAAGTGCAGCAGAAATATGTCTGCAAGGCAGTGTTAGTCAGAATCCACACAAAATGCTAAATAAATTAATTGAGCGCTACTAAATTACAAGAACAAACAAGAGCAATTGTCATGCAGCAGAGTTGTCAGCTGCGAGTAATATACAGTTTGCATTTAAGCCTTTCAGTTTATAATCCCAACCTTGTTAAGAAGAAACTTTTTATACATTTTTGTAAGCCTTTACGAGAAACGAATGGACCTTCTTGCTGAGTTAAATATACAAAAAAGTTTACTAAGTGTACATTTTTTCACAATTATCTCAACTCTTTCGCACAATAGGAGAAGTGAAACCAATGTGAGCAACTGGGAATTTCAGGAATCACTAGCCTCATTTCTATATCACATTAAAATAAACATTGCAGAAAAAGTTGTAGACAAAGGAGATTTGTAATGTCTTCATCTTTGGGCTTGAAAACTGCTTGAGAATTTCCTTGGGCATTTTGTTTTACACAATCACAATTTATTGTTGTAGAGTTGTGCGTCAGTACAACATTCTCCCCAGCATGTAATGGCAGTACAGCGCATACAACCAGCAGCTCCAACCTGCAGATTGTTTAAAGTCATCATACAGTGCAATAGTATGAAGGGTAAAGAATTTTTACAAAATGGAAAAAGGGGTCTCTTTTCCTAAATACTTAATTAAACACAAGTTGAATAATTATTTTGCAACAAATACATGAGTACATTGCAGTATTGTAAACTACAGCTGGGGGCTAATAAAAAGGCAGGTTTCTTTCCGGGTCCATTGACCAACATTTCAGAAGGTCCTGCAAACATCTGGGGCTGAAACTTTTTAAAAACAGAAAGGCAACGACCTATCAGATTAATGACAACCTGAAGACAAGCACTCCAGAGATCCCGTATGATGCAACTTCCTGTACACTAAAGTATGGAGCTATTTTGTTATACCTGATTTAAAATTCTTGAAATTTTCCATAGATGATCTCATAAACAGGTAAGATTACAATTCTGTTACTTGAGAGGATTGCTTTGACTCTTTATAATAAACAATTGTTTTATTGACATAGTTACTTTAGTTCTAATTATGGATTCTAATTTTCAAGATTTAAAGAGGAGTTGTCTTTCTTACCCTTTCCCCAATCACTGTACATTTTCGATGCTGTGTGTAGAAACAAAGGACAAATATTGTAAAAGCTCTTTGCAAGACATTAAAGTTTGATGACCCAAGTAAACCTGAAACTTTTGTGTCATTGCAGTCAATGTGATTTACTGTGCTGCCACCGTGCTGCACCATGAAGAGCTAAAATGACGGTTTGCTTTTTATGCCTGAATTATGCCTCATTTAAATTTTATTTTTGCCGTGCTGAAATAAAAAAGCTTTTGTGGTTTTCAGAGTTAAGGGTAGGAAGTTAAAGAAAAAGTTTGAAGACACTTAGTTTCATTGACATAACAAAATATAAAGAAATATATTTTTAAAAAGCATTTTTTAACTCAACAACTTTCTGTTGCTGTGCCTTTTTCATTTTCTTTTTAAATCAGTAAATTAAAGTAAATTTAAAAAAAATGTCACAACACCTCTTCTAAGTGCTAATGATCAGAATGAGTACATTTCTGTATTCAGGATCCCATCTGGGATTCTCCAGTCTCAGCTGGTTCAAAGACACGAAACCGTGACCCCTGTGTTAGCATCTGCACATGCTCTTTCTTCCTGTTCGTTTTTGGATTGATTTAAACATATTAGTTCTCATACTTAAATCATAGGATCTGATATCAATACCAAATACTTTAGATATACTGATTTATTTCAGGTTTAAAGAGAAAATAGGTATTTTCTGTTAACTTGAAAAATATATATATTAGATATTCTGAATATTAATCAGATATGGTAAGGCCATGTTCTTTTCTCTTTTTGTAAAGACCTCTGTAACAACATATGTTTGCATTGTTTCCAATGTAAAGTTTGCTTTTATCGAGTCTTCTGGTCCTGATCTTGAAACACATGATGAAATCCAATATTTTACTAATTTCACTATGGATGGATTGATGCGACAAATGCTATTGCTCTACTTTATTTAAATACAAACACTGATTTTTATCTTGTTTTGTTTTATCTTTTGTATCATAGGTTTTAATGACAAAACAATTCCACAAACATAACAAGAGTTTGTTATACAGTTGTTTTCTGTTTGCTTTGGAACAGGAAACCTCGAAAGCATCCAGCAGGTGGTGATCTCTGAATTCATGCTGTCTGGTCCACCATCTGTGACTTTGTGAATTTGGCACACCTCACACTCTGATTTTCATGCCTGTTTTATTAAAAAAAAAAAAAAAAACTCCTAAATTGCTAAACATCTCTCTTTTAAGCAAGCAATTTGCCCAGTGCTGGTTGTATCACCACAACTCCTCCTCAGTGATATGAGCACAAAAAAAATAAAAAATTCATGATCCTAGCAGCACGCAACAATATTATTAAAGATGAAACTCTTGATATCTTTAGGTGAGAAATTGAATTTTTATTGAAGGTCGTCTTGGGGAGCAAAAATCAAAGCGTGTGTCGAGGAGAAAAAGAAAATGTTTGGAATCAATTTCACGCCTCTGTGAAGATAAGCGCCTTTCAGTCTATTTCAGTGGAACGTATTTAGTTTAGTAGTTTATCACGTCTGTCTGCTTTGTGATAATTATTGAATAAATGATGCCACACCAGCACCAGCTGCCTGAACCATTAGGTGATGCCACAAAAAGAGCACAACAGCCTGAACCATGAGGTGCCTTTTGTGGCATCACCTCATGGTTCAGGCTGGGGTGCTCTTTTTGTGGCATCACCACATGGTTCAGGCTGCTGTGCTCTTTTTGTGGCATCACCTCATGGTTCAGGCTGCTGTGCTCTTTTTGTGGCATCACCTCATGGTTCAGGCTGGGGTGCTCTTCTTGTGGCATCACCTCATGGTTCAGGCTGCTGTGCTCTTTTTGTGGCATCACCACATGGTTCAGGCTGCTGTGCTCTTTTTGTGGCATCACCACATGGTTCAGGCTGCTGTGCTCTTTTTGTGGCATCACCTCATGGTTCAGGCTGGGGTGCTCTTTTTGTGGCATCACCTCATGGTTCAGGCTGGGGTGCTCTTTTTGTGGCATCACCTCATGGTTCAGGCTGCTGTGCTCTTTTTGTGGCATCACCTCATGGTTCAGGCTGGGGTGCTCTTTTTGTGGCATCACCACATGGTTCAGGCTGCTGTGCTCTTCTTGTGGCATCACCTCATGGTTCAGGCAGCTGTGCTCTTTTTGTGGCATCACCTCATGGTTCAGGCTGGGGTGCTCTTTTTGTGGCATCACCTCATGGTTCAGGCAGCTGTGCTCTTCTTGTGGCATCACCTCATGGTTCAGGCAGCTGTGCTCTTTTTGTGGCATCACCTCATGGTTCAGGCAGCTGTGCTCTTCTTGTGGCATCACCTCATGGTTCAGGCAGCTGTGCTCTTCTTGTGGCATCACCTCATGGTTCAGGCAGCTGTGCTCTTCTTGTGGCATCACCTCATGGTTCAGGCTGCTGTGCTCTTTTTGTGGCATCACCACATGGTTCAGGCTGGGGTGCTCTTTTTGTGGCATCACCTCATTGTTGGGATCCTCAGGCTTGCCCACCAGAGGGCGCCGAGGATCCTCTTCTGCTCTCTTTGTATTTTTCTCTTAGGGCTGGAGTCACTGTCAGGTTCTGCAGATTACCCTCTGCCTCCAGCAGAGTGCGCCGTGGGTCCTCCTGAGCTGAGCCTCCCACACACCTGTGGCTGATCTACTCATCAGGAGGACCACAGTATTTAAGCTGCCTTCAGACTTAGACTCATGGTTCAGGCTGCTGTGCTCTTTTTGTGGCATCACCTCATGGTTCAGGCTGGGGTGCTCTTCTTGTGGCATCACCACATGGTTCAGGCTG